AACATCCACGCCTCGCGCGAGGTAACTTTATCCCGATTCTAAAAATAACTCGAGACGAATTACCTATGGAATAGGGTGTATATGGGGGATGGCCTCTCTGTCCCCTTTATAGTCTCTTGATTCTCATACAATCACTGTAATTTCTCACACGTTTGCCTACTCGTCAAGATGGCGTCGAAAACCGTGACGAGGTCTATGTTTACCACTACAGAGCAAAATTAACGAGGCTGCTTTGTCACTTGTCATTGTTTTGTGAACTCAGGATTTCCTTGCAAAACCCGGCAATTTTACTTATAAATAGAAGTTAATTTAAAGGAGAAAAAAGGGAAGGCAAATATATATTTCCGAAAATCGTTCGTGCCAGCACGTTAACAAGGCAAAGAGCACTTCAGATAAACAACACTCACCTCGATCGTGGCCGCTGTTGACATTTTTAAGTGATTGGCAAGAAGTGACAAAAAGAACTTTCTCCTTCACGGTGAGTTGACGGAAGCAAATAAAGATCTACGTTTCTTCTCAGAAGGAACAGTAATTTAAACTTTCGACGTTTTCTTTTAAGCCATTGATGCCAAATCTTCCAAAAAGATTAAAACTTTGATTTGCCATGTTTGAAGATACCGTAAAGATCTTACTTTTGCGCTTCTACTGTTTGCGAATACATGTTCACGCACGAATTCACTCGTCAATCAAACTAATCGTTTTTTTGAATGATCTCCTCTACAATTCTGCTGACATCACTTCGTGTGTATATACTAAAACAATTATTCACCTCAGGCTCATTTAATATTGTTGAATAATCCTCGAGACGAATATTCGCGTCATACTCACTAGCATGTTCTTTGAGGAACACTTTTTTTTGGAGTTTCATAACGATGCCATCAAAGGTAAAAGCAGAACTAATGCTCCCGAACAAACAGCAGCGAGCAGACAAGATGTTTGTTTACAGGAAAAAGCACGTGAAATGGTGTCAATAGCCCATTTTACAGTTTCAGGTGAAAACGAGGCTGGAGTTGACCTTGTTTTGATACAAACCCTCTTTCTTTATCATGTAAATCAGGTTTTTCGTATACTAACCACGAATTTTAAAAAATAATTTCCAAAAGAAAAGGACAGAGGTTTGTATCAAAACATGGTCAACCTCAGCCTGACGTCTACTCAAAGGCTAGGATACTAAGCCCACAACTGTAAAATTGTCTATTGTTGTAAAATAAGGAGCTGTCATTTAAGAAGGCGTGACAAGCGGCAAGATCCCATCACTTTTGTTTTCGCCCCTTGCTTCTTCCATCGCTCCTTGCTGCTTTGCCTCTTGCCCATCACGTGTGCTCCTGATCTATTGTGCCTCAAGTAATAATAGATAGATGAATAAATAAATAAATAAATAGAGACTTCTTGCAGTCTATACAAACCTGTTAGATTATAAACAACAACAACAACAACAACAACAACAGCAGAGGACAGGAAAAAACTTAAACACGTAAAAGGGAAATGTTACCAGGGGCAATCCATTGATCTAAATGTACAGACCCGAATTTAAAAGAACGAATTGTAACTTAATCTGAAGCCACATCTAAAATTAAAGTTACTTCTTTAGGTGCTAAATTAATAAAGGACATGGAGTGTGATTTCAACTTCAACTTCAACTTCAACTTTATTTCATAAGACTATTGGTTACAATAGACTGGCCCGCAAAATAGCAATTGCTAATCTAGGCGGACCAGTTAAAAGAAAAATAAATTGAAAGGAAAAGGAAGGAAAAAACTACAATTTTAAGTTACAATAAATAATATTCTATCACAGTTTTGAACTTTTCTTTTCAGTTTTGAGCATTTCTGAAATGCCCCCGTTGGTAATTACTTTTGAAACAGGTTGGTAGTCTAGGGACTGCGCCGCTATATTGACGCTTAAAGACAAGGTAAAGGTCCCTCTAGCACGTTAAAGAAATGCTCTCTTTGCCAGACAGCTTTTTTTTCGCGCGACTTCGCCGCCTGTGGCATCAGTCCTAATTTCCCTTAAATTCCTATAATAAGGAAATTCAGATCAAGGGAGGAAACTAGTAGCTGAACACTTTGGTATTTGCAATTTGGCATTGGCCGCTGGGACTAAACACATCAATCATAAACTATGTTTTCTATCAACACTTCACGCGTCCAGTATATTTCAGTTTAAAATATTTATTGGTACTTTTCTGAATCCGACAAAAATCTAATAACTTCTTTCCTTTTTTACTACACTGAAATGCTAACGGATGTTCTACAAAACCTAATAATAAGGGGCTGATTACATGAGACCGGATGGCACTGCGGTTTACCGGGCAAAATCACCTTACTGAGGTGACTTTTAAACCTGCTTCATATGAAGCGAGATATCCTGGGGCCGCAATGCATGCTTACAGAGGGATTAAACGTAGTTATCACAGTTGTTACTCGCTGCCTTTTTTGTTAGTTTTGTTCGCCAGGTCGGCCCAGTGATCGCAATTACATGAAAAAGTTCCAGACAGGTAAAACTTAATCCTGGCATCACGATACCAGGCTCTCAGCCAAATAGGTGGTCATGCAAGAAGTTTATTTTCGTTGCGATGAGTTAATGTTTGCAGCTCTCAGCAAAGCCCGGTTTATGAAATCAGACCCAAAACATCTGCAAATTTCATGCAGGGGACAAAAGACATATGAAATAATCTTATCACTGGAGTAAATATCAATTTTAAACATTTCGATACGATGCCTGCACAACAAAGCTTGCACAACTTATTTTAAGTAACAAGAAAATGTATAGTTCTCCGGTTCAGACACCACTTTTCTCCTGAGCTCCTTCAACCCGTTTCAGCGACATTCAATTGTCGGTGATAACACCTACACAAAGAAGAAATCAATGTTGGCTGTCAGTTCTCAAAAAATGAAACAATTCCAATCAAATATTAGTTTAATTACACCTTATGAAATCTTTAAAGCAAACAACAAGACATCATTATGTGGTATAACTGTGCAGTTTGGTTTGGGATAACTGCAGCAAACAGGTCTAGCGTACCTAAATCTAAGGAATCCCGGCAATACTGTTGTTGCCAAAGTGAGAGAAGTGATGGGTATTGCAGGGCACAATCCTGGCCTCTCCGTCTGGGTGGCATTGTGATTCAACAAGGAAAAGAATGCAATATTTTTGGTAATATTTAGCGACTTTAGAAGGTGCGTTGAGGCTTGTAAACGTTCGGGATTGGTGTTGTCGGTTATGAAATTTTTATCCAAAAATTATCGAAAATATGGAGTGACTACATCCTTAGCATAGATTTATCGAGATAAGGACAAAAAGAAGGCAGTGAAAACGACAGGATGATCCCTGAGTTGCTTGCAATGCTGTTTTTAAATTAAACAGCTGTGTGCTATAATAATGATTATTCAGGGATAGTGGATCTTGAAAATATAATAGAACTTTAGTGTTATTGCATTAGACACTTCCTGATTCTTATTTTTGATAGGGGTAGGGGAGCTCGTTTGCAACTTTAAATTTTTTTACGTAAACTCACCAATTTTTGCAGGGTCACCGCAACAGCGCATGGCGCCTGTTACTACAGGCCCTTAACAGTCCCTCTTCCCATGAGAGATAGACCATCCAACCGGGAACTTAACGTCCCCTACTCTTTACGAACGTTGTGAGGGTTCTTCAACGTGTCACAGGATTTATATGTGAAAAGGTTGTGAGACGGGGCCTACGATTATCGTCCTTATTCGTGAAAACTAGAAAGTCTGACCGTTTGCAAATGGCCTTTGAAAGGCGGCACTTTATCTTCAGTCATTTTAAGACCCCGAGCGTTGATCCGGTTGGGGTTTGAACCACCGCCTCCCACTCGTCAGAGGGCGTTTGTTTAATTGATTAAATAACCTGCTAGTGGTTTTTAATTGGGTGAATAGTTGCCAAAGTATTATTTTCGCCTCTGCAATGTACTCACGCTGATCAGGTAGGTGTCCTTATCGCTGTTTGTACGCTTTGGTCATTTCTCTCTTTAATGATCTGAATCTGTTCGGGAGGATCATCTTTCTGCTCAAATCCGTCACTGTCGTTTTTGTCAAGAGTGATGTCAGTTACGCCACCTTCGTTTACGGCATCTGCAATAGTGCTCATTCCCATCTGACCTGAATCCAGTTGGGCGTGCAGGACGTTCGTACTTGACAAGCTACCTATTTCTCCCGGCAGTGAAAATAGTGGAAGCACAAAAGCCAAGCAGCAAGAGAATGACCATTGTGGATTTTTGCGCCATTCATCAACAAATTCATACAATTGCTGAACATTGTTAACTATACAAAAAACAAACAACAACAAAGACAGTTGGAGTGTAGCGATCAAATAATGGATGCTTGTGGGAGGTTTTTTAGTACACGAATGCCGAATTTATTATGATCAAAATCACTTCCGCCATATGGTGCGAAACATACAATAGAGCATGGCCCCAATTTACGTATGTCCTTACAGATAACCCACCCAACCAGGAGAAGTTGACCGCACCATCTGGGTCTACGTCCCCTACTCTTTACAAACAGTGGTGTGGGTCCTTTTGCGTCCCACAAGAACGAGATAAGTGAAAGTGCTGCGAGACGGGACCTACGGTTTTCCGTCCTTATCCGAGACTAGAAATTCAAGCCGTTTGTAGATGTCATTGCAAACGCTGAACTTTCTCCTCAGTTACTTAACGACCCTGAGTGACCTACGACCTACCGCTCAGCAGGCCGGTGCTCTCCCAACTGAACTACATGTAACCAGGCGGAAGTGAGCGGAATGTTGAGTTCTTAATTAACAAAACTTGCTGAACAGTCATTCAAACATTTGGGTCCTTCGAAAAGGGCTTGTTTGATCATTGAGCTGCCTCTCTAAAGTCGTGGCTAAGAGGACTCAGACTCAGAGCGCGCCACGATTTCAGTGTTATATACACAAAGAGTTAGGTGGGCTTATGTCGTTCAAGTAATATATTAAGCATGAGACGCAGTGGTTCATCACCAGATGAAACACTGAGAAGAGGAGAGTTTGAAAATACGACACGCAGCGGAGTATTTTTGACGAACTTCGAGGTGTTTTATCTGTTGATGAAACACTGTATCAAAAGCTTGACATTATTTCTAAAAAAAAACGAAGAAGAAAAAGGAGGAGAAATTAAGGATGCAAAAATGAGCAGTTTTTTTTTATCTCATTTCCAAACACTCATGCATTAAACATTTATTTCTTTGGTATTTTCTTTATGAATTATTAATTTGTTTAAGAATGCTTGGTAGAGCATTACTTGCACGTTAAGGAGACGCCAAGATTTCTGTGCGTTTAAACGGGAATCTTCGATTGCTTAGCCAAGTAATCAGAGCGTAAGCTTTTGTTGCTTATAGTGTCTATTCAGGAGAGACAGGTGGGAAAGATTCCTGGGTGCTTAAGGTGTCTCGATAGAGTTTTTCAGGGTCAATACCTCCCAAGTTTGAGCATAAACTACGTCGCTATTAACAAAAATTTCAAAAATATAACCTCCACAGCCATATTAGAACATAGGGACGTTTAACGTGCATGAGCTATTTTGAATGCTCCAGTATAACCGTACCAAGAATGATGAATCTACCTTTTCCATGCTAACTATAGACTGTTTTTGGAGCGAAATTGGGTATTGCTGTACATGAATAAAAACGGGAAACGTTCAGCTTAGTCGATCCTTATTTTATACATTCACTTAGTTCTGTCTTTCCTGATACATCTGGTGTAAGTTAAGCAGATTTTTATCATTGTGGTAGATTGTTGCATCATCATAATTCGCGAGGTTTTCACGAGTGATTCTACTCAATGAAACAGTCTTAAACGCTGATGACTGAATTATTCATGTTATAAAAGGTATTACTTCTTAAAAAACAAGAGCCTTTACTTAAGGCATTGGCTACAAAACGAAACAGGTCTTCATACGTTCAAGTTACTATTATTACTTCGGCGGAGCGCGAAGTAAAGGATTCGCGACGCTCAGGAATGTATCAATTTTGACATTTTTGGGACAAGACCACTGCAAGATGGGGCACGCTAAGTCTGTAGGTTTTCGGTTTTATTCGGCTGTTTGACGAAGTGAGAGCCAAATTAGGAAGAGACGTTTCGAGATCACTTCGATTTCTTTGATTTATTCTTTAACTTATTCGAGGAAGAAAGAATTAGTATATTGGCTTTCCCGGGGTTTGAACAGACTCATCTGTGTGACCCGTCAGATCAGAGGAGACTCTAAGTTGAGGGATTAGCCGATTGCGCTACTGCGACTCAAGGTAGTTCGGGATATGAAAAATAGCTATGAACTTATGCACTAGTTTCGGGACAAGATTGGGCGCGCAAGTTCGTCACTTTTCGGCTTGTTACGAAATGACACCGGACTAATTCGTGATATCTTGAGATCACTTCGAGTTTAGTCTTTAATTTACTCGAGGAATAAATAGAGGATATCACATGGCTGCGCAGGGACACGAAATTTCTCTTCGAAAGTTGAAAAACATTTCACGAGTGAGCGTTCCTTTCAAGCTGTTTTATGATGAATTTAATGCTGCACAAAGACGTTTTGACTTTGTTGAGTGTTACGTAGTAAAATTGCTTTCATGCGTTTCTGGAAAGTTCTCTACGTTTTTGGATTATTCATAAAAAAATTAACTAGGTCATGATTACATCAGCACGAGTCAGCAGATTTGCATCAGTGACTGAAATCATAAAATATGTCGAAAAGCTACTACTATTCGCCTGTTTAGTATTTCTAGAACCTTATGTCAAACGGTATACAAATTCCAAGCGAGTTCTTTTTTCCCACGAGCTGAAGTGCTGTGTTTTGTCAATTGTGACGAAGGTCGAGTTTCAAGTTCTGTGTTTACAAGTTGGCGGAAGCCGTAAGATATCTGAAGTTCAAGTGAGAGTTTGTTATTATTGGTAGATGCTGTTTAGTTTTACTTACGTTCAAGTCAAGTTTGTGTTGGCAGATGCTGTGTTTTAGAGCTCTGCAAAGAGCCTGCGTGCTGATAGTCAGTGAATAATTATCCTCAAAACATTCGAACTCGTAACATTGAGTTATAGCCAATTCCATGCTCAACGTAATTGCCTCCTTACCCACGCCTTACATATCTTTAATCAGTACATGAGACTGCTATGCTGTTTTTGAAGCCTGATGTAAGAAAAATAGAGAATTCTTTTTTCACTGTTTGCTTTGTTAGACTTGTTATTTACCGCCAGTAATTTCATATTTGACTTAGGTCTAAACGTTTAGACCCAAGTCAAATTTAGAAGGATTTGTATGGAGTCATCAGAGCATAACTGGGCTAATATCTCAGAGACAATTTGCCCCGAAATGCTAGTTTTTGGCAAGTAGGCCTTCTGGATGTTGCTCTTTTCAGAATATCCTGACAAATCGCATAATTTCAGAAATTAACACCTTACTCTTACCATATTTCATTTCTTACTATTCCTTCGCATTTACAATTAACCAGTTCCACAACGACGACGCCAAAGTGTACGTTCCATAGCTTCTTGTTACTGTGAAAAGCCAATCTGCACGAGATGTACGTCACACAGCTGACACGTGAAAGTGCTGGACTTTGCCCCCTTTCGTGGTTCGTACGCGAGGGAATTCGAGGTATCACACAGTAGTCTAGTAAACAGGGTTAAAAAAATAACTCATGCACACAATTTGCACGTGAAGATGTTGGGCTATGCCCCTTCTATAATTTGTACGTAAAAGAACGCATATTGCTTACGAGATTACTTTGCTCAAACGATTTTAACAAATCATTTCCTTTTCTAACATCTGCAATTAAATTATACATCATTCAATGTTAAGATTGATACCCTAACATTATCACTTTCCTTTCAACAGAATTGTCAAATTGCCGAAATACGGATTTCTGCTCATACCATGTTATTCCACTCAATAAAAAATCTCTGATTAACTGAATCAACTGGCTACTCCCACTTAGCCACTGGATAGCAAACATGTATCAGATATGGTTACACTTACGTTGCCGGAACGTGAATTTAAAGGTCTTTTGAACATTGTACAAAAGAGAAGAAAGCATGTTTACTCGTTACAGCTTTAAAAGAATCAGCTCTTTTTCAAACTTCTGAAAACACAATTACGCCGCATACTTCCAAGTTAGAGTCAATATCTAAATACCAATTATCAACGATTCATTTGTACATCTTTAAAAAATATGATTTTTTATACTTCACTTTGACGCAGGTGAGTGTATTAAGCGCATGCAACACGGCAAACGGTTTCGGTTTAATCCAGTATTTACAGAATTTGGTCGTCGGTGGGTCGACAAATTCGCAAGTATAAAATCACACGGACGGACGTCGCGCTGGAGCTGGTGTAAAACCAATGGTGTAATCTCTGGCAAATGGATCTAAATCAATCCAAGTGCGGGCTACTTTCTATTACCAGAAAAGCTGGCCCGTTTCACTTCCCCTATCAATTATCCGATGTCCAAGTTAAGACGATGGAAGCTCAGAAGGTCCTTGGGGTTTTAGTTACTAAACATCTGAAATGGAACTCCCAAGTGCTGGCAGCTTGTTCGAAGGCCAATAGCATGCTTGGCTTTCCGCGAAGATCAGCTTTCGACACTCATGACCAGCGAGCTCGCAAGCTACTTTACCTGTCACTAGTTCGCAGGAACTTCGCATATTGCTCGCAGGTGTGGACTCCTCAAGTTGTTAATCTTATCCTTGACATCGAAAGATTTCAGCGGCGCGCAACAAAATTCATTCTGTCTTTGCCGCATCGGTCGCACGTTAGTTTTAAGCAGAGACTTTGGAAAATTGGGCTACCACCATTATGTTATTGGCGCGAATTTTTAGATTTGGTGTACGTATTTAAATGTTTAGTTAGTCTATCGGATCCTTTTATTTCAGTCATGAATTCCACTAGACCCAGGCGCACTGTCTCCTCCAAGGGTACGCTGTTGAATACGATTAGGGCCAATACCGTCACCTCTGAGAACAGTTTTTACTGTAGAGCCCCAAGAATCTGGAATACTCTACCAGCCCACCTCCTAACACTGACTGTTCAGAAGCAAACTTCAAGAAAGATCTTTTTAATTACTTCTTGTATCTCACTAAGTCTGTTTATGATGTCGACACCCCCAGACCTGTACGAGTGTGTGTATTAATTGCCACACTAGTCGACATTGAACAGCTTGCTCGATCGTTTGTGTTGTTGATTTTTTATCGATCTCCTCCCTAATTCTGTTTTTGCATTTCCGTTTTTTTTGTCTTTTCTAAAGTATTGTCATTCTTGTTAGTTGTATAACTAATTTTCTTTTTTTTTTCTGGACCTCGTAGTAAAGCTTGTTCTGTGAGTGATCGAGGCCTCTTGGCGAGGTTTATAAATAAAGAAGAACCAAAATGGCGGTCTTAAAGTGCCGTTGTTTGACCTTTAGGGCAGCAATGTTATATTTAGATGCCAAAATCTCATTGGTTCCTAGCAAAGTACCTCATAGTACCTTCAACCTTATTGGCCCCTGCAACACACATCCGAAGAGACAAAGTCACAAAGCCCCAAAGCCCCAAAGCCACAAAAATGCATTACGCTCAGACCACTGAGTTATGAGCTATTTTTTTCGAAATAGCTCAATAAAGATGAAAATTTTTTATGATCAGGGTTAAGATGACATCGGAGTTGCATAGCAACGAAATGACGCCACCAACTATTTTTCTTCAAGGCAGTTTAAGCGAAGTCTGTAAGAGCGTTATCGTAATATTTTGGTATGAAGTTTTTATGGTTAGAAATACGGTAAAAACTGGATAATCTTCATGTTCGACCGTTATCTGTAGAAAAAAAAAGCGCTTTTGAAGTGCAATTTCGCTTCATAGTAGTTTCGATCTTGTAATAACATGTGTGAAAGATCATGGAGATAGTTTCAGCCGATTTCTTATAAGGGAGGTTTTGAATAAAATGTATCGAGACGCTCTTGTCAGCGGTTTTGTAAACATTTAGGTCTACTTTAACAAATAGGCGGATAATTTTATACTAATTTCTTTGACCAGTTTGAAGATTGTTAATATCTTGTGAGGCAGTCAAATACGAGTTACAATTCGCTATTTTTTTGTCGAAGATTTCTTCCAAACATCTAGTTCCCAAAAAATACCGATGACGCTTAAACTTCACGAACAGCGAGGTGGCAATTAGAGGAAAAAGTTCCCGTGAACGGTTTTAACCGGAAGAACAGGAAATGGCTTCATCTCGTTGCTATGACAACTCCGATGTCAAATTTTCATCTTCATCTTTATCTACAGTTGTGGTGGCAATTTTTCCAAATCTTTATTAATTTCGACGTAGTTTATGCTCAAACTTGATTGGTATTGACCCTGAAAAACTCTATCGAGCCAACTTAATTGAGTAGTACAATTTAATTTAAAACATCATCTTACCAATCAAAAGTCCCATAACGAGAGTATTCGCTCCGAGTATCAATATATCGAAAGCCACACTGTTCATGTAGGTATTGTCTGAAGCAGGTAGGTTCTCAGCGGGAATCCTACTCACAGCTCCAATTCCCAAGTTAACAACAGTTACTGCAAGAGATGCTGTCATCAATCTGTTCTGAGAATCATCTTGGATGGGCTTGACCCAGGAAAAAAGTACCCCATACATTCCTCCAATGACCCAGGTCAAGCCAACATAGGACCTTCTTTCACTTCCCACCATGACAAGACCCGATGTAACGATAATTTTGCGAGACATCTCAACCATTTCCCAATACCAGGAACGGTCTTTGTAGTCTTCGAAGAGAAAGCTCAGCCCTGTAACCAATTCCGTGTCNCTATGACAACTCCGATGTCAAATTTTCATCTTCATCTTTATCTACAGTTGTGGTGGCAATTTTTCCAAATCTTTATTAATTTCGACGTAGTTTATGCTCAAACTTGATTGGTATTGACCCTGAAAAACTCTATCGAGCCAACTTAATTGAGTAGTACAATTTAATTTAAAACATCATCTTACCAATCAAAAGTCCCATAACGAGAGTATTCGCTCCGAGTATCAATATATCGAAAGCCACACTGTTCATGTAGGTATTGTCTGAAGCAGGTAGGTTCTCAGCGGGAATCCTACTCACAGCTCCAATTCCCAAGTTAACAACAGTTACTGCAAGAGATGCTGTCATCAATCTGTTCTGAGAATCATCTTGGATGGGCTTGACCCAGGAAAAAAGTACCCCATACATTCCTCCAATGACCCAGGTCAAGCCAACATAGGACCTTCTTTCACTTCCCACCATGACAAGACCCGATGTAACGATAATTTTGCGAGACATCTCAACCATTTCCCAATACCAGGAACGGTCTTTGTAGTCTTCGAAGAGAAAGCTCAGCCCTGTAACCAATTCCGTGTCACGGCCCTCAAATATCTTTTGGTTTGCGGAGTTTTCGCTTCTTCGACATCTCCAAAGAGAGATAAAAGTTGCAACTGGTAATGCGATGATATAGACAACTGAGAAGTAGGCAATAATTACTAGGTTGTTATACCTTGAATCATCGCACTTTACGCTGTAATCTGCTCTCAGATACTCAGAACAGTTCTCGTCTTCTTTATCCTGGCATAATTTCCAGCAAGCAATTGGCAGGACGGAGGTTGCTTTGGAGCATGTGCTCAGGTATGTCACGTACAGGGCAAAAAACAAGTTTCTATAAACTTTTTCCTTTAGTTCTGAAATTTTGTGGTACATTTCCTCTTCTTCTAAACAACCATTTTTCGAAATGATAGCTTTACGGGAAAGGTAAATTATCCAAGCAAATCCGATCAAACAAGCGTTTATTGTCATAATTGCAAGAAGGTTTCCAAAAGCGTCAACATGCAATCCATCAGAAAGACAGCTAACTGGCGCTATTTGGAGAACGTCCAGCTGCAGTATGGCTGTATACTTGCCAATCAGCTGAAGAGAATCCGGCCATGATATGTAAGAGAGTGCCTCAAGCAAACCGTTGGTGACCTGATAAAAGCCAATAACGATCTTGATCTTGGATAAAAACGTGTCTGTTAATGAGTGCTTTCCTTCTTTTTTCCCGTTTTTCACCTTTTTTGACCACGCAGAAAATGCAACGATTATCAAAATAATCGCAACAATGATACACAACTGCCCAGCTATCCAAGTCTTGGATGGACATCTCTTGCATGAATGGAACTGTTTATAATACCGTGAACTGCAGACACTGCAAAGTGGGCCTTCGTAACCAATCTTGCAACGAGAATCTAAGCCACCCTCACAGGATACCTGTAGTGGACATCTGTACGGCGTGGGTATTGGGTGAGGATATTGTATATCAGTTTTTCCTAATGCTGGTGTAGATGTCAAAAGATTTTTTATGAAATGTCGGTAATGATCTTTATAGGACTCCATCCTCCAACTCCACCAATAACCGGGTTTCAAGGTTGCGTAATCATCCTTGCATTCCAATCCTACTTCGCATTTTTTGCAGTCTTTAAACATATTGGTTCGATAATGATTTTCCAAACATCGACAGCCTCGAAGTCCGGCAAAGAAATCTGTTTCCGTACCTATAAAACATTTATAATAAGAATTAAAAACCTGGTTAATAAACCATCCAAGAGAGGCACCATTTAAGACTAGGTATATCACATATCCGCATGCCGAACAAATCACCCTTCCACTAGACCCTTCTTTTATCGCGCTCGGAAATCTTACCAAGTTTCTCGACGCTTTTTTCCTCACTCCCCGAATAGCAGTATTCACTCTTTAAGATGTTTCGATACAGTTTCTCAGAGACCATACCGATGTTTTTCAATCGCCTTAAAAGTGATTTTATCCTTGTTCGATCGCCACCAAATTTCCACCAGTGATTGACTACGAATTGACGTTTTCGAAAATGCAGTTTTTAGTAAAGTCGATGTCACTATGACAACCATAAACAAAAAACTTTAAAATCGATTAAATCCGAATTTCGCGCGATCTAGACCTGCTACTGAAAATCCGACACCAGAAACTTAAAGTATGATGTTTAGGAAATAACCTGTGTGAGAGGGAAAAAATTCTGCATGCTTGAATTCAAATAAAGCTTAAATGTATTTCAAACCTTACATTTTTAATAGCCGTGATAAATTGTTTAATAAAAAAGTTCTAAAGAACTCAAATTAATCTAGCGTCACTAACGTCAGATAGCTGCCTATTATCATATTTCGATGCATGGAAAGTTTGGTGTATTTCCTTTCTTTCGATCAATGAAAGTTTCAGACATTTTCATAATATATATATCATGGAGACTGTGTGATTAGGGTTAAAAAAATTCTGTGGAGCCGTTTTAAAGATATACAGAAAAGCCCTAAAAGTCAAAATTCAGAACAAAGTTGCACTTAGACAGGTGGTGAGAAAACAGTTTAATAGTTTTCAGGATCGCATCCTTCTGACGCTACTTAAGATTAATTTGAGTTATTTAGAACTTTTCTATTAAAAAAATCATTACGGCTATTGAAAATATAAGGTTTGAAATATATTGACGTTTTATTTGAATTTAAACTTACAGAATTTTCTACTTCCCACGGAAGGTATTTGTTAAATACCAAACTTTTAGGTCCTGGTGTCGGATTTTCAGTAGCAGGTCTAGATCGCGCGAAATTCGGATTTAATCGGTTTTAAAGTTTTTTGTTTATTGTTGTCATAGTGATATTGATTTTACTAAAAACTGCATTTTTAAAAAACTTCAATTGATAAACACTGGTGAAAATTTTG